ACACTTCCTTAAGATCATGAAGTTCAGGAAACCCAGAAACCCTAAGTCACACTAGCCAACTGGAACATGGCTTAATGACTGAGGCAGCTACAAGAACATTTAGTGAAAAAACAATTTTGTGGTTGCTACTAGAAAAAAAAAATCAATAAAGGCAACTCATAGAATCCAGCATACTGCCTATGTGGCAACCACAAGTGCTACCTCTGACAACACCCCAATGCCAACCCTAACTCGGTAGCAGACTTCTTCCCAATTATGTTTCTGTATCTGTTGCACCTAACACTCATTCTAGATGCTGTGTCCTCTGTAATATTAATGAATTGTGTGACGGTAGCCTTCTGTCCTGTAATAAGTTATGATGATCTCCAAAATCTAGTTTCTCAATGGGTAATTATATAACCCTTCAAATTTATCCTAATTATCAGAAATATAAATTTTACAGATATATGAATAACTGTAACCATGATTAAGGTAAATGAATTTTGATGCTGGGTTGAAATAGCATCCTACTCTTGTCTGTCAATTAAAGACAGCATGACCAAGTTAGTGACCAATCTGTGACCCAGAGAAATTTTAAATTAATTAGAAAAAATTACCTATTAATGCAAGTCTCTAATTTGGTATTACTTTTGTCCAATCTTTACTTTAAAAGTAAACTTAATACACTGACTTGAATCAAAATAATACCTTATCTTGATAGTATCTCATAGCACTGTTAAGTGAATTAAATAACAGAAAAAATGTCTAGTATACATTCTTTTGGAAACATTCCTAAAAATACTAAGAAAAGGTCCACTCCTGAGCACAAAAGCAGATACAAATGCAGTCTGGCTCAATTCCTCACAGAAAAGTCTTTACATACTATAAGCAAAGAATTACATTTAGGGTTGGAGTTTATAAAGACTCACAGAAACAACATTGAGGTCATAAATATTTCACTAAGGAAAAGTAATGGAACAAGTGACCTACCAGGATCATGACCCTTAGGCTTTATAAGACCAACAGGGATCATTCTTACAGTTCCCTTGAGAGAGGAGCACACACCAAGAGTAAAACATTGAACCAAATATTCCTATTTCCAAACTCACCAACTCTCTTATAAATTATGTTCACATGATTAAACCTCAAGTAAATAAATATTTAAACACATTTGTCATTTAACTCCATTTCCTAAGCTTTAGCAATAAAATTATTTATAAAATCTAGGTTAATAATAAAAGTTCTAGTCTTTCCTAAGGCAAAGGAATTGATTTCATTTTCTAAAAATCTCTTTACATTTTAAAAGAAAAACGCCAATTACAACTAGGCAATGAATATTTAGCATGATAAAACTTTTTAACCGGTTCAACACTGGTTAAAATAGATTAACCTATTATAGGAAGTAAAAACTGAGACGCGGACTCCACAGCAAGAGGATTTTATGATTTGCCACACAGTCTTTTAAAAAAATTTGCTCACCAAGGTCCCTCCCTAAATAGAGCATTTGATAAAAAAAAAAAAAAAAAAGATAATCCCACCACATACTTTAAGAACTTTAAGATTAGAAACAGAAAGATTCAGGTAAATCATGTGATAGTTGGCACACTACATATAACCATTTTCAAGGAAGATTATATTCCATGGCAGTCAATCATGTTTAAAAAGCAATTTCCAATGACGGGCTGGGCTCATGAGACTCACTATGAGAACACTCTGTCTCACTTTTCTCTCTTCCCATAGGTTACAGCAGGTGCTTGCACTACTTCTAACTAGCAGGATGAAAACCACTGCCATACTCAGGATAACAGAAAGCAGTACATGGCACAGCTCTTCAATATGCTAGAAGAAAAAAATCACTGAGAATCAACTATTTTAACAGAAAAAGAATTTGGAGAAACTAAAGAAAAAAATTAGATGAAACTAAGAAACAGCCTAAAACAGAAATAGAAGTTGCTTGCTTTCTTGTGTCTATTTTGTAATATGAGTAGCATTACATCTATGCACTTTCAACCAACACAGAAATACCTTTAAATACCTGTTGAGTTGACTTCTCATGAATAAAACCAGTCCCCAGAGACGGTAGCATTATTCATTTCTACTCCTAGCACGGAGACTTACTGCCACAGTACAACACATTTTATGCTTATCTGTGCAGAAGTTTCCCTGAAACATAATTGCATTTCCCTATTGTCCAATTCAGAGGAAATTTGCTACCATATATTAAACTTGACAATGCAGTATTGTTCTTTCCTACTAGTTAACAATAATGCTTTCAGTTTTTCTTGAATAAGTTAAATAGCAAAGAATTCCACTATTAATAAGGTAATTAACCTAAAACAATTAATGAGCTACCCAAATACACGCTTATTGCTCCATCTTTCAAATATATCATAAATCACAAAAATCCTGTATATGCAAAAATGTCTAAATTTATTGTCTAAATGAAAGCACTAGAAATGTTTATCAGAGAAGATCCATCCTTGTGCTCAAGCAATTAGTTTCCAATTAACAAGCAAGTAATGATGACTATACTTGCATAAAAGGAAAACAAGCCATCAATTACAACATGGGACTTATGTGACAAGTTGGTATAGTGCAGATATATCTAAAACAATCATTACAGGAAAAAGACAACATTAGTCTTCTTATGACAGTCTATACTCATTACAGGAAACACAACGAAATCAACTTAACTGGCTTTCCAAGAGTTTAAAAAAATTTTGCAAGAGTAGGCAAAATCCAAGGGAAGGAAAAACATTGAGAGAGAATTGGCAAAGCATTAATTTAAAAATTCACTTTATGCCAGAATTCTAATGCATCTTTCCTTCTTACATCCCCATGTAATCTAAGCATAATCTGGCACACCTTTGGAAGGGCATTTCTGAACTGCTTAACAGACTTCTGAGTAAGGCCACACATCCTTTAACCCAGCAATTACATTCCCAGAATTCCTACAAGATTACACAAAAATGTGTACAATAATGGTCACTAAAACAGTGTTTATAACAGCAAAGAAAAACCTGGAAACATCCATACTAAGAAATACTGCATAACTGTTCAAAAGAAACAGAGCTACACAGTTATATGGAAAGTGATATGACCAAGTGAAACAGGATATATATTTATAGTATTCCAACAATTCCAATTGTTTAAATCACATACACACTTGTATGTACATACAGAATGTACAGAAAGACACATGTACAAGAAACTGTTTGAAATGGTTACCTCAATGGAGTAGGACTGAGAAGGGTTTTCAGGCTTTTATTTTTTTTTTAAATAATGAGCATGTATTAGTTTAAAATAGACTACCCTTATAATTCCTATCTCCATACAAACAGTATCTATGGCCTAAGTTTAGCAAGTCCCTGTTTAATTCATGTCCTGATTTCTTCCTGTCTGACCTAAAGCTTCTGAATTCAACAAAATGTAATGTACATAAGTTACTTGGCAATCTACCCAATAAAGTAGCCTAAATTGAAACTGTAAGATAAAAAAGTAGTTTTAAAATTAAAGCTGCTCACAATGTCATCTCATTTATCTTATATCTGCACTCCCAAAAACTGCATTCCCAAAAGAATAGGTACGAAAAATGCAAATATATCTAAACATTCTCACGTGTTGTATAGCACCCGCCTGTCCATTACTATATTCTCGATATCGCCCAAGCATCTGGTCCACTTGTCTCAGGTTCCGACTGGTGTCCTTGAGGAAAAAAATAAAATACTCTATTACTTACTTCAAACATTTTTCCCAATCAAGCTGAGTAATATGTCAAAGAGCTAAGTCAACAGTGTATAAAATGTACAATGCATAACACTCTTAAGTTGGATATCAATGTATTGCCTATCAAATAAATCTTAACATCACTGTAAGAAAAACTGAAATCTATCTGCAGTTTACTCCTATGGAATCTGAAGCATATGAATTTTGATCTAAGATATTATAGTAAATGACAATTAAAACACAAATTACACACCCACTATACAGAAAGGGAATTCTAAAAAAACAAATCTAATAGAGCTTGTACAAGAGAAGCAAATCATTAGGATCAATGTTACTTCAAGTATGTATTACTTTACCTCAAAACTTGCTTATGGGCAAAGAAGAAAAACTATGTGATAACCTTTAGCTAAGAACTCAATTGTCCTCTAATTACAAAAAAGAAGTTTTCCACCTAAATATGCTAGCTTACTAATGTCTCATTAGTGGGAAGTGAAAGTATTCCACTGTTGTTGTCAGTTTAAAAAGAATAAACTTCGGGGCTGGGGAGATGGCTCAGTAGAGTAAGTGCTTCCCTGGCATGTACAAAGGTCTGAGTTCAATCCCCGGTTCCACCAAAAAACAAAAAACAAACAAAAAGAATAAACTTGTTCATTTTTAAATCAAACTGTACATTTGCTAGCAGAAATTACTCTTTTTCATCTAAACCTATGTACAAAGCAATTAGCAGTCAAGATACATGCTTATCCAGGATAAGGTAAAAATAAGGGATGAATGAATAGGAAAAAGTTCAGCTTCCTCATTTTCTTTTTCCTACTGTGACCATACTACTCTCCCCTTACTCTTCCCAAGCTCTTTATCGTGAAGATACACACTGCCTCTACTCCAACATCCCCACTGTCAAAAGTCAGCCTCCAGATCAAGGTGGTATCTTTATATGTATGAACCACTTATAAATAATCTATTTCTCCAAACTTTTCTAAAGGTACATGTACAAGGAAGCTAAACTATGTTAGCTCTGTAGAGTATAAAATATTGTATAATAAGTATTTTACTCTGTAATACTGTTTCAGGGATGGGGACATTGCTCGGTGGTCTAAGTGCCTGCCTGGAAAGCACAAGAACCCGGGTTTGATCCTCAGTACTGCATGCCATGCCAGCCCCAGGACCCTGGGCACATTTTGTCAGTCACCCAAACTGGGCGTGGTGGCATATGCCTATAATCCTAGCACTGGGGAGACTGAGACAAGAGGATTACTAAGAGTCTGAGCTGTGTAGCAAGATGCTGTACCAAATAAATAATTTTTTAAAAATTTTTTAAATTAAAGAAATATTGTTTCATCCCAAAAAAGCCTCAACAACCTCATAGATTTCCCATTATCTTTACAATAATAGGCAGAATGGCTCTTCAGGAATTCTGGGTTCCAATTCCCAGAACTTGTGTATATTTACTTTACATAGCAAAAGGGTTTTTATGGATAGGATTAATGACCTTGGGATATGGAGATTCTCTTGGATTTCTGAGTGCACCAAATGAAATCACAAGCATCCTTAAAAGAGTACTGGGGAGCTGGGAGCCATAACTCAATAGGAGAACATTTTCTTAGTATGCACGAGGCCCTGTGTTCTATCCCCAGCACTGCAGGGAAGGGGAGGGGACTGGGTAGAAAAGGCAGAGTTAGTGGGTATGTACAGAATAAGAAGATTTCAATCCACCCTTTCTGACTCTGGGAAGGGAAACACAAGGCAAGAAATGTACAAAGCCTCTAAAAGCTGGAAAAAGCAAGGAAACATATCTTCATTGACTGTGACCTACAGAACTACATGATCATATGCTTTGTTGTCTTAAGATATTAACTCTATGGTAATGTGTTATAGTAATAAGAAAACTAAGACACTGAAACTATTACTCATCTCAAACCATTTAAAATCTATTAAATGCAATCACTAGCCTATTAACTAACCTGTAAAGTACTTGTTATAGCGTTGACCTTCTCTGTGACGCCTACTGTAGGGTGACTCTGAGTTTCCCTGTGACCCGACCTGGAAGCCCATGGACTCAATCGGTCACAATAGCGGAAGTGCTCTGAATCACTAGATGATTCTGCCATCGATGTACACAAATCCTTAAAAATAAATCCAACTCAAGATCAATCAAACAGTAAAAAGCTCAAAAGAGAGTATTTACTATTTGTAATTTTTAGGTATTTATTGCATTAGTCCTCCAACATATAATTTCTACACACACACCTTCAAATACCAGAAATCGCTTCCCCCACATAATTCTCCCTCCTTTGTTTACTCTGCTTTAAAAAAAAAAAAAAAATTCCTTAGATAATTTTAATCACGTTTATAATTACAAATAACTCCTCACATGTGTGCAATGCTTCCATTTTAAAATTCCACCTACATTTACAGCACATCTCACTTAATCTTACCAACAAACCTACAGAGTAAATGAAAAAAACAGACATTCTCTGAAGACCTGCAATTATCTTATTGGTTTGATGTTCATTCTATGAAGTTATAAGAACATAAGTATCCTGAAACATAAAAATTCTACAGATGTATAATATAGTCTGTAAGAAACTCCCATTCAGTATACAGTGAAAACTCTTGTGCATTTTCATTTAAAAACTAGAATTACACAAATAATACAATAGAAGAACAAATTTTACAACTCATTTATAAGATGACATCTTCAAAATCACCAATAAAATAGAAAGCCAAAAGGCCAGAGTATAATTTCATCAATGGAAAACATACAAAGTGTGCTTTTCTCCCTCTTTATTTCAATTACCTATTTAATACATAAGAAAATTATTTCATGTAAAAAAATCTCAAGTTTCAAAAAACTATTAATAAAGGAAAATACATTAGAAAAACATTAGAGATGCTCAACTGATCAAAAGTAAAAGTTTAGTGAGTATTATTCTAACATTAAGTTCATATAATCTTATAAAACCTTTTATTTCTGGCTTGTTAAGTACAGTACAATAAAACTTTTCTTTAATAACAGAATATTCTGGAATCTTTGGATCCCATTACCTGGTGGAGGCACATGACTATGTATCTAAAGAGAAGACAAAAGGAGCATGCTAAATGTGTACAGACAGCAGAACATTTAACAAAAGCAATTACATATGATATGATATAAAATAAAACTCTATAAAGAAACAAACAAGGACACTTGCTGTGAGTTCAGGTTTTTCAAAACAAAGTATAGCCTGTTCTGGCTGCATCAGAAAGTGAAATAGTGGAATACCCAATTTCTTCACACCAGCTGAGAGAGGGTTAGAGAACATTCCACTGAACACCCGAGCTTTTTGCTGTGTCCACAGCTCTCAACTTCTTCTGCACCTATTTGCTGTCGATCTTGCCCCTTTCTAGGTATAAGTACAAAGGAACGGAACCCATGATATGGTTCCCTCCCATGTCAGGAAACAAAAAAACAGAAAGTAAGGCTAAAGCAATTGTGTGGCTTCACTTTTCCCAGCTCACTATTGCTTAAATCTAAAGGAATAAACATAATGCTAAAGTAAATCTTACATGTAAAGTCTGCATTTAAAATTTTGGAAATCAATTCTATATATATCTCATGACCTTTCAGCTCAAGTTCAAATAGAGCATTTTTCTATTAGTGAAAGCAGAAAAAAAGTTTATGAAAATCTGCTCTTCTGCTTATACAGATAATCCAATTTAATTCTCATAACAACTTTAGAAAGTGAACACTATTAACCCCTAATTTGCAGAGGATGCTGAGGCTAAGAGATGTTAAATAACCTATTCAACTCCATACCATAACCATAAGTAGCAGACCCAGGACTCAGCCAGCCTACTCTATCTCCAATACTTTGTTCGTTCCTTGATCCTGCTGTCTATTACATACTCCGTGGACAATTCTAACAACTAATAACAATTGCTAAAGTCTACATGTGTCTATAATCTCAACTCGCCATTTCATGTCATTTCCTTGATGCAAAAATATCATAGAAAGGAAGGAGTAGCTATCAAATAGTAGTATAAAATCCTAACTAGGCACCAGAAAAAAACAAAACTAAGTGACATGTCTACTCTACATTTAATAGAGTCCTGAAAACAAATCAAGTAATTGACCTCAGAGTCAGAGGTTAGGTTTCCTGACTCATTCCATCGCTGTAGAAGAGAAAGTAATAATTATGGCTTGGATCTTTCTCTTTCTTAGCAAAATTATATAACTGACAGTATGATAATTTTCATCTTAATGAGTCATAATTGTAGAAACTAAACTGAATTTAAGAAATCATCAGGAAACATAAAAAGATAATATTAAAAGAGACAATGTGTTTATTATAATAGGTATTGCTGAGAACAGGGTCCACAGCAACTATCCTGAGGGGCAACTTGATTTTTCTAAGAGCACCATAATTTTAATGATAATCAGTTACCTACACATAACAACACTGAATATAAGTGATAGACAATTTGCGCATCAACCTGACTAAAAGTTAAAACTGAAATTATTCCAACACTTGGAAGACTGAGACGAGAGGATTGCTAAGAGTTCAAAACCAGCCTGGGGGTTACAAAAGTGAGCACAAGGCAAGCCTGAACTGCATAGTGAGACCCAGTCTCAAAGAAAAAGAAAAAAAAAAAAAAGTTTTTAAATTTATAAAAATGCGTAAAGCAGTAATGAGTACATACATTGTCTTTAATAATTAACATTAATCGTTACTATCATCCCAGCATGTTTCTAATTAATAAGCTGCATACAGCATCATAGTCTCAGTGCCCTCCAATCGCACCTCTCCCCACAGCCACCACCCAGTACTAGCTCCACCCCCTGTTCCCAGGGGAAACTGCTACCATGAGTTCATGCCTAACTCTGCAAACAGGATTTTTTAGTTTTACCACAGCCTATGTACCTCAAAATCTTTTTCACAGGACACAAATTCCAACCAATTGATAAGAATTAACAGGTAAAAATAGGAAGAATCTGAATTTTACAACAGAAAAACTCAGTAGCATTAAATAGAAGAGCAACATTATTTCCAATTGTCACATAATACAGAAAGGAAAATGTTCCCTTAAAATGTCTAGGATTACATACTTCCAATATGGTATCATTACCCTTTTCAGCATGAGCTTTACTAGTACTTATAAAAAAGTTTTCTTCTATTAATTGCAATTACTTTAAGAAATAAAAGATGGAAATCCTGCAGAGATTTCAAGACTTAAGAAATATGTGAAAAATTTTCTTGCCTTTTTTTTTTTTTTTTTTCCCTGTACTTAGGACAGTGTTTCCAGGGTCTACAGGGTCTCACTACGTAGATCATACTCATAGTGATTCTCCTGTTTTCAGCCTCCCAAGCACAGGCACGTGCCACCATACCCAGTCTCAATCACCTTCTCGGTGCACCCCAGGTGCAGGGCCGGCATGGCATGGCATGCAAGGGATCGAACCTTGGCCGCTGCACTCTGCCTAAGCAGGCACTTTAGTCCACTGAGCTATCAGGCCGTCCCTATTTCCTGGTCTTTTTTAAAGCACATAAAACATTTAGCAACCACCTAAGCAAAACAAATCTGTATGTGTCACCAATGTTGAACTAAGCAAAGTTAAAGAGTATGATTATATTAAAAATAGAAATACGACATATGAGAACTTGTACTGTAACGTCATGTAACTCGGTAGTGTCCCAAATTTTCTGATCAAGGAGATTATGGGGCCAAAGAGGAAAGTGATCGATGATGTAGAGTGTGCCTAAGGAGAGTCACATGCAGAGAAAACACTCTCTCAGGCTTTCACAGAGAGCACGTTGGCCAAGCAATGGCTGTGACTCATCCACATGGCTGACACTGACAAAGGTTCTACAATCTGAGGTACAGGATCTCAGGATAAATCCTGAGGGGATTTCACTGACCTTCTCAGACCCAAAAGCTACAACTCTTGTTGCATAGGTCCTGCTTTACCTTGGTCTTACCCATCCAGTAGAAAAGTATGAAGATGAAATATAGGAAGTAAAGCCATGCTGTTATGTTGAGCTGTGGGGGACTCAGGTCAACAATTTCTGACATTGCCAGTTAAACAGAAGACCCAATGCTATTATGGGCTACTGGACTCTTTTAGAATATTTTGCTGAGTTTACACACCTATAATATTCAAATAATGGAACTTAGCAAAAAAGGGGATACAGATGAATGTCCATTTTGTATCTGTGTATTCAAAGTGGTTAGGATAGATATATAGTTACATTCTCTTAATGAATAGAATGATTTGTTCTAATGTTGTTTGTAAATAGGATATCAAGTCTGCATCTTGTACAGCAATTAACCACTAAGAAGAATGTATGCAGTGTGTTAGTTATTGAAACTGTCCTAGCGATTTGATTTGAAACTATCTCATTGCTATTTGTTTATCAATAAAATTATGGGAAAAAAAGATAGGAAATTAAATCTTTATATGACCTAAATAAATAAATAAAATAAAACAAGAGACAAGAAAAAATTCCATAAGAAAAAAAAAAAAAATAGAAATACGTTATTTGTGTCGTTCATAAAAACCTGGAATTTTCAACTATAACTGAAAATTCAAAAGGTCAAAGAGGACTATCAGAGCTAACCTGAATGGGCACCTAACCACTAAAAGCCACAATGCAGAAAGCAACTTTGGTAGCAGAATTACATCCCTAGCAAAAGATCATCAACCAATACCACCACTTCCCAGACACAGAGCTAACAGAAAGAAAAAACAGAAGTGAGAATGGAGTGGTCACTGAAGTTGGCAAGAGGTTTGCAACACATAATCAGAGTTGACAGTGGACGGTGTAGTGAGCTATAAAAAGTGCTCAGAAGCCCTTAATGTAACAATAAAAAATCAATTATGCAATCTTTATTTATCAGGAGCAAAGTATTATTTTATGATACAATTAAAAATATTTTTAAGGGCCAAGGAGATAGCTCAGTGGAATAAGCGCTTCCCTGGCAAGCGCAAGGGCCTGAGTTCAATCCCTGGTTCTGCAAAAATAAAAAAATAAAATAAAAATTAAAAATATTTTTAAAGTGTGGTATATAGTACTGGCATTAAAAAAAACTGGCCTCAGAAAATACTCTGTCCAATAAACCTGTACCTAATATATTTGTCATCCTA